GTTTACGCCGACTCATCGCAGAATGAAAAAGGTTCTGTGGCATTAAAATTAATTCAGCATGTTGAGACTCGATGGAATTCGTATTTCTTGATGATTGAGAGATTTGTACTACTAAAAAATTTTGTTACACTAACATTGCAAAAGTTTCCAGGGGCACCCGACATGCTCTCTGGTAGAGAATTAAGTGCTTTGAATGATGCGCTTAAAGTACTAAAACCTTTTTATAAAGTAACTAATGAAATTTCAGCAGAAACTCACACTACCATCAGTAAAATTATCCCATTTTTAGGGTTAATGTTTAATGCACTTTGCAAGGTTTCTACAGAAACAAATGTGGGAAAGAAGTTGCTGGAAAAATGTTTTAGTAATCTTGATTTCCGTTTTAAATCCACTGAGACGAAGTTAGTATATAGTGTTTCCACATTACTAGACCCAAGGTTCAAAAAGCTAGATTTTAAAAGTCCAGCATGTTGTGCAAATGCAATTAAATGTGTAAATGCAGAACTTTGTAAATTTCCCTCTGCTGAGGCTCAAATAAGTTTCCACAATAATGCAGAAAATAAACTTGAAGATGATGACCTTTGTTCATCCAGAAAAATTGATATTAAGATAGAAATGTTAACACAAATGCATCTTTAAATTCAAATTTTAAAACTTTTTTAGATGACCCTATTGTGCCTCACAATAGTAATGCTTTGGATGTGTGGAAATTCATTAAATTTTTTAACTATAATTTATGTGAACTTGCCATGAAGTGGCTTTGCATTCCTGCCACTTCAGTTCCAGCAGAAAGATTATTTTCCAAAGCTGGAAATACTATCAACAAAAAGCGGAGTTCTTTAAAGCCAAATAATGTACTCAAACTTCTAGTTTTAAATTCATTATCAATTGAAGAACTGTATGCATTGGAACTGTAATTGAACTATACAAGTTGAAAATAAAATTAAGTTTTGTTTTTTTTTTTAAACTGTTTGAGTTTATCTTGATTGAACATCGATGTTCCAATGGGCATCGATCAAACATCGATGTGAAATCCGACATCGAAATTTAGCATCGATGCTTAGGCAAACATCGATGTTTGACATCGATGTTAAAATTATAGACATCGCACAGCACTAATCTAAACTTTTCCACGAACAAAGCTACCACTCGAATTGTAAAGCCCTCTAAACCTGCTGTCGAATGAGTCTAGAAAATAGGTCAAATAACTTGTTTCTAATCACTGTCTACATTGTGGCAGGCGAGAAACGCCGTCTCTGCAATGAAATTTTTCCGAACAGCTGTTTACCCGATCTGTAAACCGCCGTCGGCCTCTAAACGTTGTCTGTGCAATCGGCTGATAAAGTTCCATTGTCGTATACCCGTTCGTTTGTCCGTTTGTTTTTCCTTAATCTCGAGAACGGAGTTAGATAAATGAAATCCGAGACCAGATATGGAAACCTTAGGGGCATGAGGTCCGGTTAACTATACAAACTTCAGATGCAAACCGGAAGCCATGTTATTTCAATTCAAAAATTTTCACCTGAAAGGTGTTAGATAGATGACTATTACGACTCTATTGTTAAAGGAAAAGTATGATGTACAGGGGCAAGCCGCTACTAATTTGAAGAGTATATATTTTAAATTAAATAAATTAAAAATGTGATTAAAATTGCAGCCTGGCATTGTGACGAAATCACAATAAATAACTACTCGCTTTAGTTTGCAGTTTATGAAAATTTTGGTTTTAACTTGTAGAAATATTTACATTGAAAACCTACATTTTGATGTTTGTTATGTTATGAACCACATTGTTGAAGTTAAAATTCTTCTAAGAGGTTACTAGGAGTTAATAATTGTGGAAAATAGAAGTGATAGAAGTATTGCAATTGCCCATCAAAAATAGACAAAGAAAACATGCCAGTAAGTGAAAGAGACCGATATGTAGAAACTGCACCATTGGGATGTGTACAGATTGAGTACTCCATGCATCATTAACATCATTAGTCTCACTATTAGAAGAAGAAACTTTTATTTATAACTTTTATATTTTTAATTACCGTATATTCCGGCTTATAAGACGACCCCCGACTTTTACAGTTAAAATATAGAATTTGGGATATACTCGCCGAATAAGATTTGAGAGGCAGGGAAGATGTACGGTAATAGGATACATACAAAGGTGGGGCGGACGGGTGAAAGATGAGTGTTTTTCTGGGCACAGTGCCGATCTATCTCTATCCATACTCTGGGCGTCCCTGCCGACTGCAGCACCCGCCCTATAAGACGGCACCCGGCGTATAAGACGACCCCCGACTTTTGAGAAGATTTTCCTGGGTTAAAAAGTCGTCTTATACGCCGGAATATACGATATTATCGAATGGCAAAAAGTTTAATTTTGAGGGTAGTGATGAATTTTATTAAAACAAATTGTAAATGTTAGTAACGAATAATATCTTCATTAAGTCCGACCTCTCGCGAGATATGACACATGACACCCCTCTACCTCCCCACCCCTTTACCCTTTAACCACCAAAATTTAATAGCATCAATGCTCCTTATATACAAAGTAACATGCCAAATTTCGTTTCTTATAGATGCCAACACACACATACACGGAATATTTTTTCTATTTTTTGTTATCATTTTTTTTTAACTTTTTAGGGTTTAGGAGGTTTCAAAACGCGGAGTTTTGCAAAAAATTCTGAGGGTCAAATTTGACACAATTCTATGCTTTCCCTTGTTATGTATTTATGTATACATAAATATAGTCATAAGACATAAAGTCGGGAAAGCAAAATTAAGAATGTTTAGAAATGCATTTAACTTATTGCTACAGATTATTTTGTCTTGTTTAGAAACATTTAAATAAAGGGTTAAAGAAAGAAATGCCTTGTTATTTACTTTCAAAATTAAAAAAAAAAAAAAAAAACTAAGTAGGATCATTTTGATTCACACCATCTTAGTTAAGGATTAAAACTCTTCTTTTCCTTCACACACTTTTACACGAGTTAGAATATTATAGCTCATTGCCTTTACAGAACACAAATGGCACGCTTCTTTGACTAAAAAGAAATGCCTTGTTATTTACTTTCAAAATTAAAAAAAAAAAAAACTAAGTAGGATCATTTTGATTCACACCATCTTAGTTAAGGATTAAAACTCTTCTTTTCCTTCACACACTTTTACACGAGTTAGAATATTATAGCTCATTGCCTTTACAGAACACAAATGGCACGCTTCTTTGACTAAAAGGAAAATGGCGGAGGTATATTCAATTTTCTTTAATTAAACATGGCGTCGCTACATCTACTCTATGTAGTATATTTTAGCTTGTTGGTGCTGAATGTCCACAGGCAACGTTTCTTCTACGTGCGCTCTGATTTCTATGGAGTTGCGCAGATACCTTTACTTCCTGACTTAACTTTTAAAATAAGTATTAAGGTTTAAAAATAGAGCCCACTAGTGGTCGAGTGGATAAAACCACTAAACACCGGTAGTTGGTTGTGGGTTCGCGCCTCACCAGTGGACTTACCACGTGGGGTTTTCTGAGTTTTCTTCACGTCAGTAACACCTGGCCAGTTTTCCATAATAAACCTCTTGGGAAACATTCCTCTCGGCAGATCTCTAATGTAGTACCTTGCCTTAATTAATCCAATAAAACCGAATCAAATCATCTTAAAATGTGTCCTATTTCAATAGGAATAATTATATACTGTACTGTATTTTTAATTGCAAATGTTTTTATTTTAAAAAAGAAGTTGTTATTGTTTCATATTAGATTACATGTAATCACTTTCATTTAAACAAAAACGAAATTATTTGTCAATTAATTAAAAAAACAGCTTAGTATTTAAAATTTAAGAGGTGTCATGAGATATAACCCCCTCCGAAATACAACTTTCTCGGAGCATGCCCAAAATTATTAGTAGAGAATTCTGGGTAAAATTAGTAAAATGGCGGACAAAGAAGAAAATGAACCGACCATTGCTCAAGATTTGGTTGTTACCAAATATAAAATGGCTGGTGAAATGGTTAATAGTGAGTGTTATAATTTATTTCATTTATATTTATCATATATCAAATTTTGGCTATATATAAAATAACTTCTAACACTTGACATGTTGTGAGATACCATGTGCTTAGGCTTAGTAGCAAGAATTGTGCTACCTGATTTAAATGTTTAGTATTTATTAATCTTTACGATTTATAAATTTATGTATATTCGGCGATAATATTAAATTCAGAATCGTGTGTTTTTCTGAAAAGAATATACTTCATAATGTGTATTGTGCCTGGATATATCGAGCATGATAATTTTTCCATATGCTTCATTAGAATGATGCACTCGGCGAATTAAACAATAACTTTAACACCAAACTATATTGTCTAATTAGTTACAATTAAAATTTAAAAAATATATTCACTTAATCTGTTTATAATTTAGCAGTAATAGTTTTATTAAATATCGAACATGGAAATTTATTAAAATAGGTGCATTTATAGTTATTACTAGCCAGAAGTTTTAATTTAATTCGTCTGTGACCTTTTAAAACGAATTAAAGGTAAAGCTTTATAAACCATACACCAACGTTTTCTCTCTTACTTTTATTTACAATAGAGACATACATGCTAGACATGTCCAAAACACAGAATATATGAATGGAAACTCATTTAAAAAGCCCTATAAACAAAAAAAATCATAGGACTACTTACTGACTATGCACCGTTCAAGCCACTATTGCTTAAGCTTGTTTTTGTCTTAGAGCTGTGTTGGAGGGCGGACGTGCACATGTGTCACGTGACCTGACTTTGACATTAGTCAGTTATGTGACTACAGCTTTTGATGCATTTCTGGACAACTTTTTCTTGTTGCGGAAGATTTCATTCTCTTTGCACTATATCTTGCAGACGTCTTAGGGTGTACCTTAATATGGTGACGCCCATAATATCAACAGTATCATGATGGCGGGATCTATAATTTTAAAATATTACCAAAATTGTTCATTTGGTCAATAACAGATTTGTAAATTGCTCACAAATCAGCCCCCCTTTTCTTTTATTAACAGACTTTAAGTTACAAATTATATGTAATATATAACATCAACTACTAAGACAAAGTTACGGATTATATATACAATCATTAGAGTAAGATTCTAGCTCTGAACGAGATGGTTGGGGCCTTATTGGAGCTGTAAATCTTGCTTGTATGAATAAAAAGTCAACGGAACTGGTGCTGATGGTCTATATATGACTTTTCTGAGATATAGCTCTTCCCCAAAATTGGTCTATCTAGAATTTTGAAGACCCTCAAAAATGGGATAAAATTTAAAAGTGAAAAAATTCCTGAACTGTTTCTCAAAACGGTGCTAAAAATCAAATGTTTTCTGTGTTACTGTTAAGCCTGTTGTGTGTTTAATTTTAGGAAGTTATATCTCGTAAAGGCTTGTACTTAGACCATTGATTCCTTTGACACTTTTACTCCTAATACCCCGTTCGCACCAAGCATTTCGATCTAGATTGTGACTAAGGTTGGAGAGAGTTCCGTGGTGCGAACGCTCTCGACCGTTTCAATCTCGATCGACTAGAGAGAGTTCTCGAAACTAGATCCAGTCATAAGAGATCCCACAATCCCACGCGCGCGAGAAAATACAAGATGGCTGCGGAACACGTGTCGGGCTATCGACAGAGAAATAAAAAAGACAGCTGGAGAGATGACAACATCTGTCTATTATTAGATGTACGGCAAGAAAAAGTATTTGTTTCTAACCAAAACTTCCATTTTGTTTGTTGGTGTTTGTGACTTACCGTGTAGTTACGTCAGTTTTATGATCGCGTGTAATAGCCAGGTTCTTCTCGAGCGGACTGCCTGTGCGAACAGCACGACGTTCGACTAGCGACAGTCACAATCCAGATTGTGGGTAAATCGAGATCGAAGTGAGTCGTAGATTGTGTGCGAACGTGGTATAAGGGCATGTCCATGGCTCTAAGATTCAAACTGCTTCATTCAGATGTAGAAACTTACTTGTCATTAGCAGGGCTGTGAAGTCGCGTAAAAATCTACCGACTCCGACTTCAACCAGGGGCGGACTTGTTACCAAAAGAGACCTGGAAATTCTGTCATCATGTGACCTCAGAATAAAAGATTCAATAAATAGAGTTCTAATAAAGATAGAACGTAGAAACTTTTTATTCCAAAGCTATAAGACTCCTCTAAGTAATATATAAATATGTATTCGATAATTTTTACTTTTCTGGCTGTTATATATAACAGAGAGAAAGTGTAGTGCTTGGTCAAAAAATGACCCTTTCCAAATTTTTACATTTTTGGACTCAGGACACCTTGAAATTTTGAGATACGCAAAAGATTTGAGGTTTCTTTTCTATATGTGGATATTAGACTGTGTGTGGAGGGCATGATTTTGTTCCCCTGTTTGAAGCCTAATAATTTCTGTGGTCAGGGTGGTTAGAATCAGAGTCAGATGGTTTAACACAGGAGTTAGTTATTAAGCGTCAAACTGGTTGAACTAAATCGTGTCCCCATACACATTCTAACATCTTAGGCGAGAACATCTTAACAAGTTTTACTGTACTATTATAAAATGACAAAAGAGATTACTTTGAGGGTAGAACCAGTTCTATTATTATTATTATTTTTTTTTTAAATATAAAATATTCATTAAGAATATGTAAAATAAATAAATATGTAAAATACATGTAAAATATTCATTAAGAGATATGACACATGACCCGTTTTATGTCTTCATCCTGTCAATCTTTAATTAAGAACAAAAATTTAATAGTATTAATTAATTAATTAATGCCCCTTTATATGCAAGCTACAGTACCACATTTCGTTTCTTAAACTTTACCCATTCTGAGATATTGTTTAATATCTCAGAACAGAAAATAAAGAAATTAAACAAATTAGATGTCAACACACACATGCATTCTAATTTTTCCCTTTTATTGACTTTTTTGGGGGTTAGGGAGGTTTCCAAACGTGTAGATTTGCAAAAAAGACTTGGAGGGTCAAATTTGACACGATTCCAATACTTTTCTGTTTTATATAGGCCCTATATATAACAAGTTGGAAAGTAAAAAGGAGTCGGAGTTGGTGGATGTTTTGACAACTCCGACTCCAGCTAAAACTCCATGACTCCAACTCCACAGCTCTGATTATTAGTAACCCCCTATAAAATAGGTGTATTGCTGAGAATAATGATAATCAAATTCTTAAGGCAAAGCCTCTTGTTTTTAAGCTTTCCATGTTGTTTAAAATGCATTAAACAAAAACAAGCTTCATTACCAAAGTTTAGGAAGTTTGATTATGTTAGATAGATCATATTTAAATAAATAAGTTTAGTTACAGAAAAAACTTGCTAATACTTTTAACACTGCATTAATGTCATCTTCAAGCAAGGCAGATTGAACATGCAGTTACATTGAATATATCAATGTAACTGCATGTTATATGCCCAGGGTGGCCAAGCTCCTTGATAGTCCGAACCATTTTTCAAAATTTGAAATTTTTCGCGAGCCGCAATTAAATACGTATTAAAAAGGTATGCAAAAAATTCCAGATTACAAATTATATCCGTAGCAAAAGTGATACAAATTGTTTCCTCCAGAGCACAATGTCAACTGTCCATTGCAATGATAATTTACAAATTCAAAATCAGTCTGAAGTCAATCGATAGCGGACGATTACGCCACTGTTTATGTTCGTTTGCGCAGTTTTCGATGAGTCATATCATTCTTAACTTGGACGGAAATGAAATTGTTACAACGTTGCACTTAGTCTTTCATATTTGTTGTTAGTAATTTAAAAGACATTTTGAAACACATACGGAATGATAATAATTTTTTAAAATATAATAACACAAAAATGAAAAGGGAACTCGGGTACATTTATCGAGAGCCACAAATAATCCTTCAAGGAGCCACATGTGGCTCACGAGCCGCAGGTTGGCCACCCCAGTTATATGCCAAGAATTATTGTCTGAAGATGACATTAATGCAGAGTTGAAAGTACTAGTGAGCTTTTACTGTTGTTAAATGTCTTTCTAATATCAACAGTCAATGTACAATAAAAAGGGATTTTTTGAAAAATTCCCTCCCCCCATGGGAGAAATGTTATATATTTATAATAGATACATTTTGAGCCACAACAATGCGTGGCGGGGTCTGCTAGTAAATTTATAAAATTTGAATAACTCTTGAATTCTTCCATAAGGTTAGAGTGTGAGATTTATGTTCATAATAGGTATTGATGAAAACAGAAGAATTCAAGAAAATTCTCTTTAGTAACATATCAGATGTTGCTTTATTTAAATTAAGGTTATAAATTGTTACTACTATCAATTTATAGCCCTTAATTATAGCTGATGCTGATTATTAACTTGTCACTAGTAAAATTGCAATAAATTTATAATTTTTTAAATTTGGCAAGAAGGTTCTCAGATTGTTTCACCAAAAGATAATTATTTATCAAGAACTATGCATTCCAATAATTTAACTTTTCAGCATTCTTATTTTGCCATAGATCTAATTCGGCAACAAAATAATATTCTATGTATGTTTAATCTGCAATGTGCAACATTGCTTGTGGTTAGACAGAGTTGTCAGTTATGCCATAATTATCAATTTTAACATAATTTTAAATACAGTAGAGCGTCAATTTTCCAAATCAATTGGGGACTGGGGTTGTCCGGATAACTGATATTTTGGATAACTGATTTACGTATGAAAAAATAATTTAACGTATCTGATTTCGAAAATTTTCTCCGTTGCGTGTCGCTTCGCGTTGAATTTTCGTCGATGTTAAGCCTAACAAAAACTATTGTATCGTTAAAAATTATTTTTTTATTTTGTACAAACAATAAAAAATTATACTTCAGATGTTAATTTAGTATCAAAAACATAAAATATTTGAGTAGCCCAAGACATAGCCAAAGATTGAAGCGCCACAGCACTGGCGTAAACTTAAATTTTCTGACTGGAATTCTTTTGGATGATTGACTTTCGGAAAATTGACACTC